AGGAAAGAAAGAAAGAAAGAAAGAAAAAGAAAGAAAGAAAGAAAGAAAGAAAGAAAGAAAGAAAGAAAGAAAGAAAGAAAGAGAAAAAGAAACTGACCTAAGGGGGAAAAAAACAGACAGGTCCAGTTTTCTACATGTGAATTTAAGCTAAGCCCATTCTCTAAGTTACTCCTAATAAAAACTGGTAGAGAATCTGAACAGGTACTGGGAATGTCATCATTTTTTTTTCTTTCTGTTTTGATTTTTTTTAAGATTTATTTTTATTTCATGTGTATGAGTGTTTTGCCTACATGTATGTAAGTGCACCCATGCATGCAATACTCATGGAGGCCAAGAGAAGGCATTGGATCTCCTGGAACTGGAGTTAAGGATAATTGTTAGCCTCCTTGTGGGTGCTGAGAACTGAAGCTGTGTTCTCAAAAGAGCAGCCAGTGCTCTTAACTACTGAGCCATCTCTCCAGCCCATTTGGGGGGGGGGGGTTGCTTTGTTTGTTTGTTTGTTTGAGATAGGGTTTCATGTAGCCCCAGCTGACATGAACTCACTGTGTAGCAGAGGATGACGTTGAACTCCTAAACCTTCCTGCCTGTACCTCCCAAGTATGAGTGCTGGGATTAAAGGCCTGTGTCACCATGATGCTCAGTTTACCATCATCCTTCTGCTAGTAGGCCTGGGACATTTCACGGACACAGCCACTCACCTGCCCAGCATTTGTAGACCTCCTACCTGGCTAAGGATGCATCCAGAATAGAAACTTCTTGGTTTCCATCCTGGTTTTAGAGCTAATGTTTCAATGGGCTAGGAATAAAAGTGATGTTGGGGGAATGAACGGATTCAGGAGATGGGAAGTCAAGCAGGCAAGGAGTGGTTTGTAATTTCCCCTCCAGTGTTGGGAATGGCTAGTTTTGGAAAGGGACTTTTGGCCAAAGAAAGACTAGAGAGAGTAGCTAGGTGTGGTGGTACATGCCTATAAACTGAGCACTTGGGAGGTACAGGCAGGAGCATCAGGAGTTCAAGGTCATCCTCAGCTACCTAGGGAGTTTGAGGCTAACCTAGGGAACATGAGATCTACTGAAAAAAAAAGTGGGGCAATGTCTCAGGCAGTAAAGTGCTTTGAAGACCTATTTGAATTTCTAACTCACACATAAAGGCTGGACAAGGCAGTGTGCATCTATAATCCCAGCACTCAGGAGGCAGAGGCAGGAGGATCTCTAGCGCTCATTGACCAGCCAGACTAGTAGAAAAGATGGTCTCCAGCGTCTACCAGAGACCCTGACTCAAAAACTAAGGTGGAGAGCAATCAAGGAAAATTTCAGTCTCTGGCTATGCATACACATACACACACAAAGACACGCGACTTCAGTCTTTGGCTTACACATACACACAAGTGCATACACACAAAAAAGAAAAATTATGAACTCACAGAGATCCTCTTGCCTCTGCCCCTGAGTGCTGGGATTAAAGGCATGCACTATCATGTCTGGACCAAGCTTGCTGGCTTTTTAAGGTGAACATACAACAGATTATTTGTAAACTAGTAAAGGGAAGAATGATGTTGGGTGGAGGGGATAGAGTCTTGCACATAACAAGAACAATCATCCTGCCCTCCCCCGCCTGACCCAGGATTGGGACTGGCCACGCATGGAAGGTGGAACAGTCAGGTGCTGTGCAGGCACAGGTAGATATATGTACAGGGAACCCTCTCCCCAACCTCTTGGCTCTCCACACCTCTCCTCTTCTGTTCCTTTCACTTCTCTTCTCTTTTCCCTCTCCTCTCCTCCCCTCCCTTCCCCCTCCCCTCTCCTCCCCTCTTCTCTCTCTCTCTCTCTCTCTCTCTCACTCTCTCTCTCTCTCTCTCTCTCTCTCCTTTCCTCCCTCCCACCCACCCTTTCATAAGGGAAATTGAGCTAATGGCCTTGTGCATGCACCTATCCTGAGCTACATCCAGCTGGGGAGTCTCTCCTGACTGTTGCTAATTTGAATTAAAGATGGAAGCTGAGTCCTAGACCAGAAGAGGAGGTGCTGGACGTTTGAGGAAAGAAAAGACAGACGTGGAAGTCACCCAGATCACCCAGACTGCGGGGAGGGGTTTAAGCAGGCAAAGGTGTGATTCATCCTGCAAGAGCATCTACAGGGAGTCCAGTAACATAATCAGTAACAATCCGGGCAGGAGGGAGGAAATTCTAGACACTCAGGGCTATTCTTTCTTGCTGTCAGGCTATTAAAACAATGGCCCTCAAGGAACTGGAATATCCCCCAGGAATCTCATGCTGGAGGAGGGAAAGGACCAAAGCCTCTTGCTAGACCAGAATCTGCCTCTCAGGAAGAGATTCCACATTCCACAAGGTGTCAGACCACCTTGCAGGAGAGAGTGACGACAGTAATGGTCAGTGATGGCAGAGACCACACCTCCACCAGGTCTGCTTAGCTATTCATGCCTCTGTCCTCTATTGAAACCTAAACCTCATGTCAGGACCCCAAGATGGACTTGGAGGACTGTCACGGGATCTCCTCATTTGTGCCTTTTCCCAATGTGGCCACACTGAATAAATAAATTATTACCATGGTCTCTCA